TGAATTCAGAGCCTGACATTCATTCTTATGCACAAATGGACTTAGAAGAGTGACTTAGCTGTGTCTGCTGCAGGGTGCCCTCTTGGCTGCAGTGATTGCACTCCCTACATCTTTACTTGTGAATTCCCCTCTGTGTATGCCCATGAAATATTGAACCTAGCAAAATTCTTAAGTGTCTTTGCTCTGCTGCATGCAGAAAAACGGGAGGAGGAACTCACGGTAAGAAATGGTCATCTGGGCATCCACAGATATCAATCAGAGGACCAAATATCTAAAGATTTATGGCATCATTAAGGAGTTTTTCCATAGATTTTGTAAAGGAAGGAAGAAAGGAAGGAAATAAATGAGGGAAGAATAAATAAATAAATAAAAGGAACAGAAAAAGAAGGAAAACAGAGCAGTGAGCAATTCTCTTAAGAAAAGGAGTTGTAGTTCATTGAACCTTGTCTTCCTCTTGCCTCCCCGATCTTAGGTAAATATTTGAGCTAAGTCCAAACCAAATACACAGACCAAAATAGCATAGGGTGTAACTGATACAATCTTCAGAACTCATAGAAAAGGCGACTTTGAAGGGGGAAGGGAGAGACCTTTTCCTAGAACAGCTATTGCTTGGGTGAAGACCATCGCCCCTTTGGCTGGACAATGGGAATGAAGTGCTTTCCATAGCAAGCACAACAAAATGTCCTGTTTTAGAAATGTGGCCATGGCTGAGCTAGCAGGGGAGATCTGAATGTTCAGTGCCCTTTTACAGGGCTTTTCATGCAATTGTCCTAAAGTCCCTCATAAACATTTTGTCCCCACGTATTGAAATAATCAGGTCATCTGAGACACTGGGTCAAGCTGCCCAGAGAAGTTGTGGATGCCCCATCCCTGGAAATGTTGGATGAGGCTCTGAACAACCTGGTCCAGTGGAAGGTATCCCTGCCTATGGCAGAGGATTTGGAATGAGATGATCCTTAGGGTCCCTTCAAACACAAGATGTTCTATGATTCTGTGATATTTTCTAGGCAGTAATAATTTCTCTTTTCCAACTTTCTGCAGACGTTGTCAGTATATTATGGGAAAGAGGTGAGGATGAAAGGCAGTGCCTCAGCAGAGAGGAGAAATCCAATCCATAGGGATTAAAAATCTAGTCTCTTTGGCCCATCTACATGACAAAGGCCCATTGCATAATGCTATGTGTACAGCTAAATCCAAGGTTTAGTCCCTCACCTCCTGGTTTGGCAACAGAGAAGACAGATAGGGCTGGAGGAGCAGTTGGATGGAGATAGCTTTGGTTATGTAAATGCCTCAAGTTCACTGTGAGGAGTCTGAGCCCATTCATCATTTCATGCCAAGCTCAACTGCTTTGATGGAGGCATCACACCCAACATGCACTGAAGATGTCCTCACATGTCTAATGTGTCTAGACATTCTGGCCTTTAATATCCTGCAAGTTGCAGGAATCTAGAGGTGACAAGGACACTGCAGTGGTCAAAGCCTGTGTTGGATTTTCTCTGGTGTATATCACCAGAAAACCACCCAAAGTTAGAGCCTGATGCATTGAGCCCAGGTGAGGAGCTGGGCCCATGCCAGTGGTGGCTGTTACTGAAGGTATAAAAAGTCTTTATGTGAGGAGGAGGTTATGGAAGGGAGTGGTGACTTATTAGGAAGATGGAGCTGAGCCTGCCTTTGGGACAAGTCTGTGTAGCTGTTTAGGAGACAGCAAAAACCAGGCCCAATGCATCTGGCACATGCTGTCTGGGGATTAAAAGGATCTCTGACTCTTGCAGCTCTGATCACAGGTTGTATCTTGTGCTGTTGCACTGTGCCACACACAGCTCTCACCATGGCTGTGCACTGGGTACAAAACGTTCCTCTCTGGAGGGCTTGTGATCTTCTGGGAGGGTTGCTGCTGGCTGTCAAAAGACTGCTGGATTTGCCCCAGAGGAGAGGAGGGATACAGATGCACACCAGATTTCCACATTGTGTGAAAGGAGCCTTATAATTAACTTATACATTACAGTTGGGAGCCCCAGGCAAAGGGTAGGCTCCTGTGCTTTCTCCTGACCCATTGTGTGAAGTCTCATATGATGCAGGGTGGGGAAGTGGCTGCCTCAGACGTCTTTGTCGTGCAGTGTTGGTGATTACGTGACAAACGGAGCTGGGCCAGCCTGCCTGGGCATGGGGTGAGGTTGAGCAGTGTGACTGTGTGGTGTGTTGGGCACTGTGGTGGGCTGGGACATCACCAACTGCTGACAGGTTCTTACTTGTCCTCTGGCAAGGTCTCATTTGCACCTTGTCCCTTTGCCATCATAGAACCCTTGAAAAGTCTGGGTTGGAAGAGACCTTAAAAATCATCTGGTTCCAAGAAAATTGCCATGGGCAGGGACACCTTCCACTAGACCAGGTTGCTTCAATCCCCATCCAGCCTGGCCTTGAACATTTCCAGAGACTGGGCATCCACAACTGGGCATCTTCTCTGGGAAACCTGTTCCAGTGTCTCACCACCCACATAATGGAGAATTTATTTTTTACATCTAACCCAAACTCCACTCTTTCATTTTGAAGCCATTCCCCCTTGGCCTACTATTCCATGCCCCTATTAAAACTCCTTCAGCTCTCATGGAACCCCTTTAGGCTTTTTAAGGGCTGCTGCTCTAAGCTCAACCTAGAGGTTTCTCTTCTCTGCCTTTTTTGTCCCCAGAGATGGGTCAGTTTAGCACCTTTTTGCCCCTCCCAGTTTGTCCTCCATAATAAGGATGAGCAGGAGCCTGTGTACCCTGCAGAGTCATCTTCTCCATGCTGGTTCAGAATCCCTTTGGAAAAGCAAAAATGGGATAAAATAGGAACATTTTTGACCTCTGTATGAACAGATTGTACTTAGCTGTTGTCACTGTGGCATAATAGGAGAGGATTTGCTCTTGTGAGAAGGGATGGATATGCTGTAATCCCCCTTAGCCTGGTCCAGCACATCATGTGTGGTCTGGGTGCTGAGGTGCTGCTGCAGATGAACTGACTTGTTCAGGCTGTAGCTGTATGCAACCAAAATTAATTCCAGGATTAATGTTTAAGCTGGCTGCGAGAGGCTCTTCATCTCATAGAAATGCTGCAATTGTTGGGCTAAAGGTACAGTAACCTCTCCAAAAGGGATGAAATAAAATTCACACAAAATTTTTAAAAAGTAAAAAAAAAAAAAGAAAAAAAAGAAAAAAGAAGTTTTTTTTAATATACAATTTCATATAATTAAAAATATTTCCTTTGTGTCCAGCTGTCATGTTTGAACAAATGATTTTATTTTTCTGAGTGATATTTTTTTCGCCAATGAGTCAGGTCCAAGAGAAAATCACAAACCTGGTCTTTGAACTTACTGAACTGAAACTCTTTGATCCCCTTGAGAGGTTTTTCTAGCAATACTCAAAGCCCACCAACTTGTTTAAATGGAGCTTGGGCCATGGGCAGGGTTGGCTTCCAGGAGCTGACAAAATCAAAGTTTTACGAAAGAATTCCCAGTCTGAGGCACACCCCACCACCCCACCCAGGAGAGGGAGATTATGGGAACTCATATCACAGAAAGATCAAGCTTCAGTTTAATCACCTCTTGTTAATGCCTTTCTTATATTGGATTTTAATACATTTTTAATCTGTTTTTCATTTTCCATGCTTTATCACTGGGGTGATCAGAGCAAACAGGAACCAACCTGATGCTGGGACCGAAACACAGCAGAGGAGGTGTAAAAGCAGAAGTAAAATTTCCCAGGAGGTTGTGGAGTAGGGATGTGAACTGAGGACTTGTCTGGCAGAAAAAAACCTAAACTAGAGTGAGGCAGCTGATGTGACAGGGCCTTGTTGTGTGACCTTGAGCCCCTTTAGACTCTGTTCCTCCAGTCTTTTGATTGAATATTCAGTGAAAAAATAGAATCACAGGAGTGCAGAATGGTTTGATTTGGAAGAGAACTTAAACATCATCCAGTTTAACACCCCTGTCACTGGCAGGGACACCTTCCACTAAGCCAGGTAGCTCATATTCTCCTTTAGTAAGTATTTTTATTCTAAAGCACTGACCACATGAAAATCTTCATCCCAGCTACCTCCTCTAAGTAATACCCCACAGAGAAAAAATAAAAATCTTCCAAACTTATGATAATGATGCAGAGAATCTGTCAAAAACCCCTTCTGAGGAACTTCTCCCATCCCCCCCACAGGGAATTTATTTTCCCTCCTGTTCAAAAAGACCCTTATCAACGTTTCAATCTTTCCATGTAAATACACTGACAAGTGTCAGGCCCTGGCAAACCTGTAATTAAGGCTGAATACAATTTGCTAATAAAAGCCAAGAAACCCTGGGCTGAGTTTACTTACATTATCCCCACTGGGCACTTTCCATCAGAATCTTTTATCAGCCTCTGCAAATGCCACTTTGACATTATTTTTACTGAATCAGTCAAACGTGGACACAACACCAATTCTCGTCCTTGCAGAGAAGATGCTCCAGCTGCAGAAATAAAGATTTGTGCTGTTTGTTGTTGTCATTGCAGCTCCTCTGACTCACAAAGCACAGTGAGCTTTTGGAAGGAGAGAAAGAATGAGAAAAATAGAGGAGAGGAAAAGAGAGAATTGGAGAGAGAGAGAGGCAGAAAACGTGAGCCAGAGATTGTGGCAGGCTTTACAAATTGGCACAGCCTTATCAACAGCATTTCATGGTTTTCTGGAACTCTTTCAAAGGGAACTTGCCTTTGTGTGCACTGGCTTAAGCTTTACTAATATTTAAAGCTATATTTAAAAGTTTATGAAAATTACTTCTGAGTTCCTCTGTCTCTTAAAATCACCAAGGCCAATGTTTGCTTCTTGCTGTTATTCCACTCACCCCCCTCTTCCCGCATTTTTCTGTGGTTTTCCCGTCCTCTTCGTCCTTCCTTGGCAGGGTCCCTGCCTTTCCCTCTCCCTCCCATTTGCTGCATTCCCTTCACCCAGCCTCCCCCCTCTCCATTTCTAGGGAGCTGGGAGAAGGGTTTTGTTTGGTGGGACTGTTTGTGATGGGCGAGGTCCAGCTCCGAGCAGCGCCGCTCTCCACTACAGCAGTAAGTGTGTAAGTAAATACATCTCTCACGCTCCTTCTCTTGGCTCCCTGCTTGGGCAGAGGGTCAGCTGGCTTTTCTCCTTGCTCCTGCCTATGTCTGGGTCAGTTGAGCACAGTCTGACACCTCCAACGACCCACAGTGGCATCTTCATCCAAACGCAGATATGGAAATAGCTCAGGTGATTCCTAGCACAGACACACACTGCTTCCAGTGGGATTTCAGGAGAGAATTTATCCCAGCTTTCCACTGATGGGTGGAGGACTGATGGGAACCCCAGACTGTGTCCAGATTTGCCTGCAGCCAGTGTTATTTGTGTGCAGATAGGCACTGGGGATTGTGCTCCTGGAGGAGGGAAGTCTGAACGTGTTTAACATTTTGGTGCGCAGATGTGCCCTTGATTCTGGGCATGGATGGCAGGAGGACACTCGAAGGGGAGGGTGGTCCAACACAGGCTTCTGTAGCTCTCCAAAAGCTCCACTTGGGGTAGGGTTTGCTTGCCTCTCACTGTTTGATGGCTGTGTCTGAGCTGCTTGCCTTTTGTAAAGCATAATGTTGACAGACAACAGAATATTCTATGATTCTATGATCTGCCGAGGAACTGCCTCTTAAAAAGGCTCATTTTTCATCAGGGCTGTTGTAGCTGCAGATGCCCCTTAGCTCTGTGAATAAATAGACCTCAGAGGTCTACATACAGGTTAGATGAATCTTTTTTGGGGTAAATGACTTGGAGAAGTTCAAAAATATTAGAATATTAGAAAAATAATATAGTCTAAAAGGACTTACAATATTTTCATGTCAGACTTTGAGCTGTATAATAAAAAAATCTTGTTAGCTAATGTGGTTTTAAACACAAAGTGTGTGTGACTACATTACTTCAACCCAGAGAGCCCTGCTGGTCCAGCACTGTTTCTAAGAGCAGTCAAGAATAAATGTTTAAAGAGAAGAATAAACTACTTATAGAAAAATAAAGTGTCTGTGCCTCCAGCAATCACTGATGTAGACATCTTCAGGAGACTACATTTATACAACCAGGCTTAACAGCCTCCACTGTGTCTATCTGTTGAAATTTCCCCCTTTTTGGGGCTGTTTTTAAATAAAAAGTTAGTACCTTGGGTATATCCAGTGGCAATGTCCCGTTTTCCTGGTTTATTCCCAGCTGATGATCCCATGGGTGATTCGGTGCCTTCACAGTGCCCTGGAAAGTGCCTGCTCTGCACCTCGGGCAGTTTGGTGGAGTTAGGCTGACTTCAGACAGGATGATCTTCTACGACTTTTCTGCGACTTCAAAAGAGGTAGGCAAATGTGCCCTATCTGAGGAAGTGACCCCTTGATTTACCTTATTCTATGACATTAAAAAGAGCAGCTTTGGTGTAGGGGAATGTCGAGCAATGCTCTCATCTCTCAACGCTTAAAAGCGCAGAGGGATGAACCACAAGGATAAGCTATAAATGACTTTTGTATCCCATAATATATCAGTTATAAGCAAATCCTTTATATAAATGAAACCCAGATCCTTTAGATTCCCTTTGAAGAAATCTTGTCCTCTGGCAGTGGGAACTGCAGTGGTGGGAGTGACGGAGGTAGTGGCTGGAAGACACGGCTGTCTGCTGGAGATAGGATCGACATTCCTGCAAGGGACAACTGCAAATTTGGTGTTGCGGTGAGATTAGAAATCCCCTTAGATTTTATTGGTGTTTTTGGAGAGAGAGAGAAAGTAGATTTAGAAAAATGTGGTATATAGGCACATGTAGTCATTTATAAAATCTAGATGGTAGCACCATGCTCTGTGGTGGAAGGTATATTCAGCTTTAATATGTTTATCATCACAGGACTGATGGAGTCTATATGACCCTCTCTGTTTTACAAGGCAAGGGAAGGTTAAGTGATTTGTGGGGCCAGAGACTAAATCAGTGTCACAGATGGGATGAGAAAGGACGAGGTTCCAGTTCAGGTTGGATTCTTAGCAGAACAGGCAACACCAGAAAGAAATAATGTTCAGGCAAAAAGCAGTGGTGGCTTGTCACTTCAGTGCTAAGCAGAGCTGCTAAATGAAACATCCTCTGCCTCCTTTTTTTCTCATCAGATAAAACAGCAGCCAAAACGCTGTCTACATTCCCTACACAGACTCAGCTTTGTCTGTTTCCCATTTCCTATGTGCTGGAAAATTATTTTATTTTTATTCTCTAGAGGTCAGACATCTCAGTGTCCTGAATTTCTCTGAAACAGCAAATACTACCCCAGCCTGATCCTGTCACTGCAGCTCCCACTTTGTAAAAAAACACGTAGTGCCTATTAAAAAAACAACAATCATGCACTCCAAATAATTAGTGTCATTATTAGTACTGTGGCATAACCTGCAGGGCCCAATTAAGATCCAAACCTTATCACGCTAGGTTGGGGAAACATACATTAACGCACAGTTTCAGCTTTGAAGATTTTGCATTTTTAATGGATGGAATTAAGAGTGGGAAAAAGGAACTTATTCTCCCTATTTCACAGGCAGAGCACTGGGACCCGGGGTTATTAAGTGAGTTGCCCAAGGTCACGCTGGCTGTGTCAAAGGCAGGAGCTGAACCTGTGTTCCTACCTCCTGATCAAGGAGAGCTGTGAGATGGAGCTTATGGCTATGATGTGTCTTTAATACAACAGGGAAAGTAATAACCAGAAGAAAGAGCTTGGGAAGGAAAGAGGGAGGGAGAGGGATGCGTGTGATTGTGTCTCTCACAGCCAGGCTGTTCAATGACTAATAACAACTGGTCTTGACTGAGGTGCTCCGGGGGATGTTCATATTTCATCCCAAGCCACTTAAAGAGCCAGTTAGTCTTAGAGAACTCTGAGCCTATAATCTAATGCCCAAATAACAATATTTGTCATTAAGTCATTTTAAGTAGAACATGCACGTATATATGTGTATATTTACAAATATATACACACAAAGTGTTTTACTTGTTTAACCTACATCTGTATGTATATAAAATAACACATGCATACACACACACACACCCTGCCCTGTCTTAAAATAACATGGCTAAGTTGGGAGTGGGCCTACCACTGCAGCTTGGAAATGTAGATGATCTAAAGGTTGTTGTTAACTTTTTTTTAAAACCAAAAAAAGAAGAAACTGTTTCATTGAAATCCACATTTTGTAAAGCTGTGCTCAAAGAAAAGTACTTAAGTAATGGCAAAATGTCCCATTCTGTTATTTGGAGAAAAAAAAAAATTCTTTTAATTTCACTTTTTTTTTTTTTTTTTAAGTTAAATGCACTTTTTTTTACTTGATCTTTTGGGAAGGTTTGGGGTAGATGTAAAATTTAAGTATTTCAAAGTTAGTCAATTTTTGAATTTAGTCTGTCTGTTGAAAAAAACCCAAACAACAAAAGAGTTGGTATTTCAGGTAGAAAAAAAGGTTAGAATGATAAAAAAAATCCCATTAAGTGAAACATTAAATGAAAAATTTCATTCCCCTAGGTGGGAAATATTGTTGCCTCTGCCCTTGTGATTCAGTTCCCTGGGATAAATGCATTCTGGTGGAATCCCAACAGATATAATACACATTCCTCTGCACAAACTGTGTTGTTTATCACATGGGAGGGACCTGATGCAGTGATGAGAGGGGTCCAAGGCAGTGGAGACCCCGTTACAGCCACTTGGAGGAGGGTTTAACTCACAGCCCGTGTGGGACTGGGGCCTCTTGCACTGTAGTAGTGGATTCTGGCTTTGTTTCTGAAAAATATTTCCAGCCAAATAATTTTGTATTGGTTTGGTACCAAACTGATCAGTTGTGAATTTCTCACCTTGGAGGGAACCTGAGGATGCTGAACAAAAATCTCTTTGATGAAAGAGCTCAGTTTTGTCCTTAGAAAAAATGCAGGAAAGCAGCTTTTTTGCTTGCTACAGAGTGGGCACCCAAAATTAGCAACTTCATGTCACCTTAACCCTCCTGTACTTCAACCTGTGAAGAAATGAGAGCAAGAAAACCCTCTCAACACACAGAGGTGTTACAGAGAGAAAGGCATAAATATTTGCAGCACCTTCAGGTGTTAAAGTGATGGGCAATGAGGAAAGGACTGTGTGGAAATGAATCATTCTGTCTTGGGGCAAAACTGTGCTGACATGCAAAAACATTTGTCTTGAGGGTCATGCATCACACAAGGAAGAAAGTAAAATCCTAAAGATTTTGTGATTACGGCAGCTCTGTCCAGCCTCTGCACAGATTAAGGCCTTATAGGAAGAGAAAGAAGTGAGGGTGTATTTGCATTCCTTTTGCAGAGTGGATGTGTGCAGAATAGCAGCTTTAATCCCAGAACTTAAAAAGTGTTGGACGCTTGACTAGGAGATCTGAGTTATAGTTGTTTGATGTACTTTCTCTTTTTGCATCTCTTTGCACAGACACATTAGATAGGCAGCATATATTTACATTCTGGATTTATGAAGTTGGAGCTGGACGTTTTTCTAAATTACTGTGAAACTAATGCTTTTCACATCCTGCTCAGTCTATTTGGGCATCCTCATTTGCACTTCAGCTGGTACCGTGGCAGGTTTGACTTTGTTTTCCTCTTTCTGCTGCGTTTGTGGCACTCTCCCGTTTTCATATATTTCCATCTTCTGATTGAAGTGACCTTTCCCATTCACCCTTAAAATTCCACCCAGCCAAAAACTAGTCCTGCCTCCAGGCCTGTAACTTTGGCCTCTGTGTCCTGGGACAATGGGGTGAGGAAGGCAAAATAAGGGACATTCCTGCAGGTCCTCGGTGTGTGGATAACAAACAGGGCAGAAGAGACAGGCAGGTAAATCAGAAATCTCTCCATTAGCTGGTTAAGCATTTTGGAGTGACACCAGGTACTTTAGGAGGTGGCGGCCACAATGGAGGGACGTTGGCCATTTGATATTCATGAGATGAAGAAGGTTTAAGAAAAGAAAAGAAAGGGGGAGGGAGGGATGTGGGCTTTCTAATGTAAACACCATTATCATTTGAAAATCAATTAGCTCCTTGCACCGAGGGAATGAGGAGACTTAAGGCCCTTTTCTGAACTGCTATTGTGAGCCTGGGTTATTTACTTTAATTAAGAGGAGACAGAGTGGATTATTGTCTCAAACTAGGGAGTTGGGAAGAGTCAGAAAATTACACTCTACCTCACTGCACAACAAAGCCCAAGGCTCCAAACAGCAAAGAGACAGGCTCCAAACCCAGCAAAGTCGAAAAGAAATTAGCCTTTAATCTGGATTCGTCCTACATAAGGAGCAGTCAAAAGGAAGGAAGGTTTGGAGCCTCCTTGCTAAGCACCAGGCATGACATTGCAGTGGCTGCCACTGCCAGTTCTTCTGCTGGAACTTAAGATTGGCTCTGGGAGGGGTTTCTTCCCCTGGAAGGGTTAGAGTTTGAGAGCAAAGATTTCCTTCTTCCTAAAATTTGACACGTTGAAATGTCAAGTGTGGGGCTTTGTTTCCTCCTGCCCTCCAACACAATAATGGAGCAATGAATTGTTCTAGAAAGAAATCTAATTGTTGATGCAAAGATGTCTCTCCTGGATGAAGATGCTAATATTTTTTTGGCTCTTATTTAATTTAAGCAGCTTGGATTAAAAAATTAGGGAAAAAAAAGAAGAAGAAGGAGGGAAAAAAAAGAAAGAAGGAATTTGGCAAGTGACTAATCCACAATATTGTCTTATTTGGCATATGGAGAAACACCCCCCGAGGTATCTAATACTGAGATGTTTCAGCTCTGTTTTGCATTGCCCACTCTTACTCTGCATACTCTAAATATGTATTAAGCCAGTCGAGCATGGCAGCTGCTGAAGGAGTTGCCACAGCTTACTGGGTAAATAATGATCGTTTTTTAAATCACCTAAATGCGTATCTACCCCAAAGACCATGGCAGTGGCTTATGGGAATGCTGATTTGCATTTTAAAAATTTTGCTTGGATGTTATTTGCTGTTGCCGTGCCTCCCACTGATTGCTCCATGCTCCAGTTTTAAGTCCAGGGCCCAATTCTGCTCTCAGTTATGAATGGGAGAATAAGGGCTGACATCATTTAAATCAGCAACGTGAAGTCTAACTGAGGAAAAGCTCAGCGTGATGAGTTTTGCCAGGAATGCAACCTGGCACTGAGAATTTTTTGGTGATTTTGCAGCTTTAAAAATAAATTTGTGATAACTGAGTAGCACCTTTTATTCAGGGTGGGGTGTGAGGAGGGCTGTAATGGGACAGATAGGCCAAAGATGAGCTGCTGTCCAACTTCATGCTGAAGCAGGGAAGAGACAGATCCCATGTGAAAGATTGCAATCAGGCTCT